CTGGACGGGAGAGAGGGGCGGGGATGGCGTGTGCGACGCCCTGTGGTGTCCGGGTCCTCCCCCCAACACTGGGGATGGCCTTGGGGGGAATTCCCTCATGGAGGTTCCCCAATCCCAGTGTTCCCTTAGAGATTTCTGAGGGAGGAATTCCCTCATGGATGTCCCATAATTCCAATACTTCCTCGGAGATTTCTGAGGGAAGATTCCCTCCTGGAGGCTCCTAAATCCAAATATTCCCTTGGAGCTCTGTGCTGGAGGAATTCCCTCCTGGAGATCCCAAATTCCTCTTTTCCCTCAGTGTTTCCCAAATCCCATCCCTGCACCCTCTTTGCTTTATTCTCTCTGTGCTCAGACTCCTCTTCCCTCTTTTTTTTGGTTTCTTTCCCATTTTTTTTTCCCGATTTTTATCCTTCAATTTCTCCAAATCCTTGGGGGAAACCCTGTCAGAAGTGAGAAATGCCAAACCTGGAAACAAAGGGATGATCCCACAGCATTCCCAAATATTTCAAGAATTTCTTTCCCTCCACCCTTTCAATTTATGAATTCCTTGGAAATATCCCACTGAAATTTTCTTTTCTTGTTGTTTTTTTTAGGCCAAGAAGAAAAACCATCCATAAAAAACCATCCATTTCCCAAAAAACCCATGGAAAACCCAAATCATCCCAACACTCCCCATGATTTCCCCCACTTTTAAATCCTCAAATCCCCATTTTTAGCAGGGAATTTTTTTGGGATTATTTCTCCAAATTCCTTGGCTCAGCCAAGGAATTTATTTTTCCCCCAGCCTGCATGGACAGAGCGACCTTTGCCTGTTCCACCGCTTTTTTCCGGGATTTTGGGAATTCTCCTCCGCGTGCTCTCCCCGGGGGCCACGTGGATTTTATTGACAAAGTTGATTCCTTCACTTATTCCGATTTTTTCCGGGATTATCTCATTCCCAACCACCCCTGCGTTCTCTCGGCCAAATTCACCGAGGATTGGGGCAGCAGGAAAACCTGGGTGACGCGGGATGGGAAACCCAACTTTGAGCATCTCCTGCAGAACTTTGGTAAGTCCTGGGATTTCTTCCAAATCCCAAAAAATTCCGCTTTTTGGGATTGAATTTTAGGGATAAAAGCACTGAAAAATCAGAAAATTCCAAGCACTGAAAAATCAGAAAATTCCAATTCCAATCCTAAATTATTCCATGGATTTTTTTTTCTCCATGGGAAACCCAACTTTGAGCATCTCCTGCAGAACTTTGGTAAGTCCTGGGATTTTCTTCCAAATCCTAAAAAATTCCGCTTTTTGGGATTGAATTTTAGGGATAAAAGCACTGAAAAACCAGAAAATTCCAAGTTTTTCCTAAACTAATACATGGATTTTTTTCCATTTATTCACTCCCAAATTTTATTTTTAATTTATATGTAAATAAATTTAAAACTTTTGGAGAATTTAATTATTCCAAATCCTAAAGGATTCAGCTTTATAGGATTGAAGTTCAGGGATAAAAACACTAAAAAAACCAAAAAAATTCCAAGTTTTTATCCTAAATGAATCCATGGATTTTTTTTTTCCCATGGGAAACCCAACTTTGAGCATCTCCTGCAGAACTTTGGTAAATCCTGGGATTTCTTCCAAATCCCAAAATATTCCGCTTTTTAGGGTTGAATTTTAGGGATAAAAACACTGAAAAACCAGAAAATTCCAAGATTTTCCTGAACTAATACATGGATTTTTTTTCCATTTATTCACTCCCAAATTTTATTTTTTCTTTATATTTAAATAAATTTAAAACTTTTGGACAATTTAGTTATTCCTAATCCTAAAGGATTCGGTTTTTTAGGATTGAATTTTAGGGAGAAAAACACTAAAAAAACCCAAAAAATTCCAAGTTTTCATCCTAAATGAATCCATGGATTTTTTTTTCCATGGGAAACCCAACTTTGAGCATTTCCTGCAGAAGTTTGATTTTTTTTCCCAATCCTAAAGAATTCAATATTTTAGGATTGAATTTTAGGGATAAAAGCACTGAAAAAACAGAAAATTCCAAGTTTTTCCTTACCTAAATCATGGATTTTTTTTCCATTTGTTCATTCACAGTTTTTTAATTAATTTATATTTAAATAGATTTAAACTCTTGGAGTGAAGGAATAATAATTTAATTATTCCAAATCCTAAAGGATTCACCTTTATAGGATTGAATTTTAGGGATAAAAGCACTTTAAAAAAAACCAAAATTCCAAGACTTTCCAAAAACTATTACATGGATTTTTTTTCCATTTATTCACTCCCAAATTTTATTTTTAATTTATATTTAAATAGATTTAAACT